TCTTAATTCTAAACATATATTCTGAATGTTAGATGTAGAACTTAGTTTTAATTTTAATGTTAGTTTCTAAAACCATATTCTATTCTAATCCCCACAGATATTATACTGCACTTATTTAGGGGGAGTTTTATAAGTTCTAATCTTGCTTCATGATAAATTTGTTATGTTTAGAAGAATTTTGTTAACATGCATAAATTTAGGGGGAGCACATAATTTTATGCTTGATAAATTTATTGGTTTTGTCATCATCAAGAAGGAGGAGATTGTTGGCTTAAAGATCAATTCTATCTTGGAATTTTGATGATTATGCAAAATAAATAAATTTAATATTTTTTTTATATGCTAATATTATTTTATGCAGATTTATTTATTTTTAAATATGAAAATTGATAAAAAAGGCAAGTTCTTACAAATCCAAGATTAATTGAAGACCATGAAGACTATTGAAGATTTTAGTGGTTAGTATGTTAGGATTTATTGTAGGATAGAGAAAATATTGAAGACCATGAAGACTATTGAAGATTTTAGTGGTTAGTATGTTAGGATTTATTGTAGGATAGAGAAAATATTCTTGTATAAGCATAAAAATATTTTTTTTTCTCTCTCAAAAATAATTCTCGGAAATTACCTTAAATAATAAAAGTCAAATCATAATCTTTTGTGATTTTTTTGATTCACTTTTCTAAAAGACAAAAGATTTTGTCTTAATTATTTTTAGTAACAAAATGTTGGAAAAAGATTTCTATATCTTTTATTTTCGGAAATTATTTTATAAAGAAAGTCCAAAATCTCACTTTTATTTACTTACCTTAAAAGAAAAGATTTTGACTTAAAATATTTTTGGTAACAAAATAATTAAAGATCTCCGTGTATCTTTCACTTTTGAAATGTCAAAAAAATTCTTTAAAAGCTAAAGATCACGATTTCTAAAATGGGATCTTCATCCCTCTATATAAAACCTTTTCCTCTTATGAAAATGTAGGTATTTTTTTTAAGAGTAAGAGTCCATTGATCATATATTTTAAATCTCTTAAAGCTCTCTCTCAAAAACCCCTTATTTCTTTCGTCTTTTTGCTTCACGAAATATTTTTAAGAGAAAAGAAAATTTTGTAACAACTTTTGAAAAATAGTTCTGTTCTTTAAATCGGTTTTCTAAACTTGATTTCTGTTTTTTCTGTGCTTATATTTACATCTCTCTCTGTATATATGGATTCCGTTGTCTATTGTAGACATGCTTTTTATTTGAAAAACTTTTGTCCAATAGCTTAGGTGAAAAATTATGGTGGAATAGGTTATCAAGTGACATTCTCCTTGTGTGAGATTCTAATGGCTTGATGTAAGTTTCTGTTCTCTGCAAAAACAGAAAGGGTTGAGGTTAACTAGAACCTTTGGAAAATCTAGTGGGACAAAGAGTAGATCTAAGTGTTGATCTATTGCCTTGTACTATTGGTTTGTCTCTGTACTATTGGGTTTGTCTCTTACCCTTAAAAAGAGATACCCTTAAAAAGAGATAACATAGTGGAGGATCTCAAGATGAGTCTTGGGGAGTGGATGTAGGCGAGTTAGTGTCGAACCACTATAAATTACTGTGTTTGTCTTCTTTTATTTTCTAAAGTTCTCCTTGATTTTAATTTATTTACACAATTGTTAATCTTTCAGAAATGCAAAGTTGTTAATGAATTTCTAGTTCTAAACTTGAATAAGCTTTATCTTTATGGAACATTAGAACTCTGGATTTCTGTATTGTGATTATACCGAGTTCTAATCTCTTCTTCTATATTCATTATAAATCACAATTTGAATTATAATCAGTTTTCTAAATTTGCTTAAAGCTTTGTGAAGCAGTTCTAAAATTCAATAACTGTTTTTATAGAATCTTTAATATTTGTCTAAGCTTTATGAAGTAGTTCTAAACGCAATAACTTTCCTTCATAAAGTGTTTCTGAAATTGATTAAGATTTATGAAGCAATTTATGAAGCAGTTCTAAATCACAATACTTTATGAAGTAGTTCTAAACGCAATAACTTTCCTTCATAAAGTGTTTCTGAAATTGATTAAGATTTATGAAGCAGTTCTAATCACAATAGTTGCTCTTTACAAAATCTTTCTAATCTTGCATCAAGCTTTGTAAGATAGTTCTAAACTTGATAACTAACTCTCACAAACGCTTTCTAATTCAGCTGCAACAGAATTCTGATTTTGTAATTGAAATTAAGTTATTTTTTAATACCCAATTCACCCCCTCTTGGGTTGTGCCATATATAAATGGGACCCACAGTCGGCCAATGACACCTTGAAAAACCTGTTTCTTGCTTTACCCGATTACTGCAGGTAAGCCCAAATATTTAGAATGATGTTGAATAACTCTAACTCCCGACGTACTTTTGAAGATCTCTTGAGCAGCTGGAGAGGAGCTTCTACTGAACACAATTTTCGACTTGTCAAAATTAACTCGTTGACTAGAGGCAGTCTCATAATCAAAAATGAGTTTAGCTAATACATCCACCTCTCTTGCTATTACGCAGCCTAGAATGACACGGTCATCTGCAAAAAATAATGAGAATTAAAGGGAGCCCTTCTGCAAATCCTGATTCCCTCTAACTTGTGTTCCTACACCGCTTTTGAAATTAAGCTTAAAAAAGACTTCAACACAGATTAGAAATAAATAAGGAGAGAGGGGATCTCTTTGTCTAAGACCTCTATGGGGATAGAAAGTCTCCGTCGGGTCACCATTAATAATCAGGGAATAAGACACAGTGGATGCACAAGCCATCATAAGATTTGCCCAATGCAAATTAAGACCTAATTTAAGCAAGACATTCTAGAGAAATGCCATTCAATGCTATCATAGGCTTTACTCATATCTAATTTTAGTGCATAAAAACCTTTACCCTTTACCCTTAATCTTATTTTTCATATAGTGGAAAGTCCCAAAAACAATAAGGGCATTGTCCATAATCAAACGGCCAAGAACGAATGCAGACTGAGAAGGACTGATAATAAGAGGAAGAAGAGATTTTATCCTATTAGCTAAAACTTCAATAACTAATTTAAGGTGACATTATACAAGCTAATGGGACGAAAATCTTTAGTGGACTCAAGATTTTTAATCTTAGAAATAAGAACAATGAAAGTATGATTGATCGAAGCAGGAGATGCACAATGGTTAAGAATATCAAGAATTTTATTTCCAATATCAGGACCAACAATATGCCAGCAAGACTGAAAAAAGAGAGGAGACATACTATCGGGCCTAGGGGCCTTACAAGGGTGCATATGTTTAAGAGTTATTCTTTCCTCGTTTCTTGAGAAAGGTTGCTGCAGGCTCTCATTCATTTCGTCAGAGATTTTCCTTTCAGCAGTCTCTAAAACTTTAGAATAATCTGATGGTGCTGATGTGGAAAAGAGATTTATGAAATAATCTGTCATGATGCGAGCTATTTCTCCCTCATCCTCGTGCAAAACTCCATTAGTGTCTTTGATTTTTAGGATATAATTATTCTTTCTGCTGAAATTTGCCTTTAAATGGAAAAAAGAAGTATTCTTGTCACCCTCCTTCAACCAAAGCATTCCAGAGCGCTGACCCCACATACGCTTTTCCTTGGCTAACAACTTTCTAAGTTGACTATTAACATGATTCTGATCCAAAATATTCTCATCCGACTGTGGCTCTAATTGAAGCTGCTCAAAGCGGTTCCTTAACTCAGCTAAGTTTTTAGTAACATGCCCGAAGTATGAATCAACTCTCATTTCCTCAAAGCCACGCCACATGATGAATACAATATTCCACAGAAATATGCGGATCAGATTCTTTTGAAGCTCGCCAGGAATTTCGAATAACTCGCTTACACGATTCATCCCTCAACCACATCTACTCGAACCGAAACACTCTCTTCCTTCTTCTCCTCCAACCCAATAGCCATTCTAGCAGAATAAAATTAGACAGTGGTCTGACCCCTGACGGATAAGATGCTCCACCCGATACTGATGCAATAAACCAATCCAAACCATGGATGCCAGAACTTGATCAAGTCTTTCCTGAATATTATCTATATTTATACAGATATAAATAGGTAGATAAATTAATATATTAATTATTGTTTTAAATCATCATTTATAATCTTGTTATTTTTTCATTTTACTTTTTGCTAAAGTATATGGTTGTTTTTTTATTTTAGAAAAAAAATCTTATCTAATGTGTTATTTGATATTTATATATTTTTTACGAGTTTTATTTTCTATTTTAAATCAAATAATATAATTTATAAAATATTTTTAATAAATAATAATAAATTTATATAAATATTTTTAAATAATAATAATAAATTATATTGTACTTTTTTGAATATAAATTACTTTGCATAAATAATTTTTAATTAAATTAAACTTAAAATTTATAAAAATAATAATTAAAAATAATATTATATTATCAACATCCCGTAAAACATGAAATTGACCCATTAAATGTTGTAATCTAAAAACATTTAATTAATTTAAAAAAAAATTCTTTAACATAAAAATAGAGAAAAATAATTTTAATTAATTTTTGGTAGTCAGAAACAACAGGAATCTGACCTGACCTGACGTGGACGATAAAATAGAAGAAAATAAAGGGCAAAAGGGCGTGAAATGCTTCCGTCCTTGCTCTCAATTTTCTTCCCAACTTCCTCTATATTCTCGGTTACCATCGAACATTCTGGATGTCCAGATTCTCCTTAGTAATTTCTCTTTTATCTCTTTCCTAAAAAATTATAAAAATAATAATTAAATATATTATATTAATCACATCCCGAAAACTGAATTGACCATTAAATGTTGTAATTTAAAAAATTTAATTAATTTAAAAAAATTCTTTAACATAAAATAGAGAAAATAAATTTTAATTAATTTTGGTAGTCAGAACAACAGAATTGACCTGACCTGACGTGACGATAAAATAGAGAAAATAAAGGGCAAAAGGGCGTGAAATGCTCCGTCCTTGCTCTCATTTTCTTCCCAACTTCCTCTATATTCTCGGTTACATCGAACATTCTGGATGGTCCAAGATTCTTCCTTAGTAATTTCTCTTTTATCTCTTTCCTATTTCAACGCGATTTCCTCTTTTTAAGTTAATCACCAAGTAATGGCAGTTTTGTCTTTTTAACTTAGCCCCATAAATTTAGTCCAAAACTCCGGTTTACGCTATATAAGTGTTGCTCTTTGCTGTTTGGAGACTAGAGTTCCTAAACGAGTTAACGAGTCGCTCACGAGTTGTCCAATGGAGAGGAGCGGAGGAGTAGGTGGTGGTGCTGGGGGCGGTGGTTATAGGGGAAGAGTTGGCGGCGGTAATGGAAAAGGAATTGGAAGAGGAAGAGACGGAGGTGGTGGTGGTAATGATGGCAGTCAAAGTCAACCCCACCTTCAACGACAGCAACACTCTCGTCAACAGTATCCACGTCAGCGGCAACGTTGGATGCCGGCAAATCAAGGTGGGACCATCCAGAGTGGTCAGGGGGAGCATAGCCAGAGTGGTTATGGTCGTGGTTGGGGAGAGCCTCCAAGGGGTGGGTATAGTGGTGGTAGTGGCGGCGCTATTGGAGGCCTGGATGATCATGGTGGGTTTAACCAAAGTAGTCGTAGCAGTAGTTGGGTAGAGCGTCCAAGAAGTGGTTATAGTGGTGGTAGCCACGGAGGTATTGGAGGCCTGGATGATCATGGTGGGTTTAGCCATAATATTGGTAACAGTGGTTGGGCAGAGCTTCCAAGGGGAGGGAATAGTGGTGGTAACGGTATTGGCGGCCCAGATGATCATGCTGGGTTTAGCCGAAATAGTGGTAACAGTGGTTGGGTGGAGCCTCCGCGGCGCGGGCATGGTGGTGGTAGAGGATCTGGCTCTGGCCCATCAAAGTGTAAGGGACCCACATTTCCTACTACGACTCCAACCGTTCCTCGGAAATCTGACTACCCCGAATCAAAGCCTCTACGGAGTAAATTTCTTATACTTGGCATTTACACATTTTGAGATTTTTCCCTTTAATTTTTTCTAAATTGCTGTCTAATGTTCATGCTTGTGATCTTGAGTGCTAAATAGTAAAAGCTAATTGTTGATTGCTTGACTATTAATTTCTGTTTGGATTATGGGAAATTGGGAAATTAAGGGAACAACGGTATGTGTTGCTGGACTGCGATAACGAATTTCATTTGTAGGGTTTATGGTTTAATGCTTTAATGTTTGGTTGTTTTTTGCGTTTGTTTGTTTACTTGAAGTCCTGTTATTGCTGACAGGTCCTGTTGCAAATAATTGAAAAACTTCATTTTTGTGAGGAAAAAGGAGAACATACATTATTGATTTTTCGGACATTGTTATTGTTATAGTTTTAGACAGACAGAAATCACAAGTTAACTGATATGGAAAACAATCTGTGTACTTGGATACGTTTGAAATTCCAGATTTTACACTTTGTTTGGAGAAGGGAGAGAGGAAAACAGCAGAGGAAGGAAATTAAGAATTGTCAATTTTCTTTCTATAGTTATTTTCCACACTTGTTTGGATATAATGAAGAAAAAAAAGATTTTTATTTTACTTTGTTTAGAAATGGCAAAATTTTAGAGGAAAGAAAATTTATTATTGAAAATTGATAATTATGCCCTCATTTAAATGTGATTTAGTTATTTTGGGTATTTGGGTAACTTAATACAAAATAAGTGGAATTCACATTTTGTCTGCATTATTTAAATTGGTGAGATTCAAAACATGTGGACCCCGTTACTTCCTTCAATATTTTCTTCCCCTTTTCCTAGCGAAAGAAAACACCTTTCCTTATATATTTTTCATAGCAACTCCCATCCAAATGAAGGCTTAGTGTCTGTTCTGCTCAGTTTTATGTTTGATTATTGTTTTTTTTTTTTTTTTGAGGGGAAAAATAGCAGTATTATTAAGGAGGAGCGACTAAATAATCCAAAACCAACAACTGGACTGAACTAGGGCAGTCCTCAACCCAAATAGAGCCTTCTAAACATCATGCACAGCTTCTATGGCAAGATGATGTGCAGGGTTATTACGGTTTCTGCTAATGTAAGAAAAAGAAAAAAGAGAAAAAAGAGAAGCCAGAGACTTGGCTGTCCAAATACGAGTTCCCATTTCAGTATGTGGAACTGTAGGAGAGGCAATTGCTGACAATCTGACTCCACACAAATCCGATCAAAAGAGAGATCCTTAGCTACCATAAGAGCCCATAAAAATGCTTCCATCTCTGCTTCTTCGGGCCTCATACATCCGGCAACCTTCCTGACACATGCCGCCATAAACTGACCCTCAGAATTATGCATAATAACTCCTAGACCACAGCAATTGAATTCATGGCAAATACTAGCGTCACAGTTAATCTTGATCACATCCACAGGGGGAGGGAGCCAATGAGGTAGTGATTGAGATCTCACTGCTGGAGCAAGAAAATTCACTGACTGGATTTTCAGCATAGTTGAAGTAGCAAGAGCTACAACTGCTGTACCTTCCATCCATTTGTTTTGGAAAATCCAGCAATTCCTTCTTCTCCAAATCGCCCAAGCAGTGACAGATACTAGTTCCATTTGCTCTTTCTGAAAAGAAACCATGCTGTCACTAAAGCAACTCTTAAAATTTCGAGAACCTGGGTCAGATACCAGCTGCAAAGGACCAATCAACCATACCTGAGAAGCTGCTAAACAACTCAGGAGACAGTGTTCAGTAGTTTCTGGGGCTTCCCCATGCAAAGCGCATATAGGACCAACAGGAATTCCTCTTCGAAGTAGAGCGGATCGCAATGGTAACTGATTATTACATGCTTCATACACAAAATGTTTTACCTTCGGAGGAATATGCAAAGGTCCAAAATTTCATCCTCCAGCCATCAACAAGAGCAGTGGAGGAGGTCGGTAAAGAGGGATCAACAAATTGGTTAAAAACTACATTGTGAGCCGTCTTCACAGGAAAATCCCCATTCTTAGTAAAAACCCAACATAGCCAGTCTTCTCTACAAAAACGACTCAAGGGAATTTTGCAAATAAAATCAGCGATCTCTGGCAGGAAAAGCATTGTGAAGAAGCGCAGTATCCCGGGCACCCTGTTCATGATCAATAAGGTCGCTCACCCTTGCGTGTTGGTCCAACCCGACGGGAGACATACCAATGCGATATTCTGGAGCATCAGGAATCCATTTGTCATTCCAAACATTAATCTCTGATCGATTGCCCACCACCCATCTGGTTCCTTGATCAACAACCCACCTTGCCTCCAGCAAACTACGCCATGTAAAACTTGGTCTAAAGCCCAAGGATGATGTCATAAAAGAGTCATGAGGGAAATACCTGGATTTCAAAACATTTGCAAGCAACGATTCTTCATCTCTCATCAATCTCCAACAGTGTCTGGATAGCATCGCCACGTTGAAGGAGTGAAGATTGTGAAAACCAAGACCCCCTAAGAATTTTGACACACAAAGCTTGTTCCAGCTCGCCCAATGAATTCTTCTCTCATCTTTCCGTTTTCCCCACTAGAAATTGGACATAAGGCTTTCGATCTTCGCACAAGTATCCTTAGGAGGAAGAAAGGTAGACATTGTGTAATTGGGAATATCTTGAATAATAGATTCAATAATACCTCTTTTCCAACTCTAGAAAGAGTAGATTCCTTCTGGCTCAAGTTTTTTAGCTACCCTATCAATAAGGGTATTAAACGATTGCTTCTTCTTTTTTCCTATAATTTGCTGATAGGCCAAGGTACTTACTGAAATGATTAATGGGCTGCACTCCCAATATGGTACTAATAACATCCCGAAAAATTTTGGGATACATTTCTGCTAAAAGCTGTCTTGGATTTTTCGAAATTTATTTTTTGACCTGAAGCCTGCTCGTAGACTTGGAGTATCTTTTGCAAAGCATATGCCTGTTCCAAATTTGCTTTCGCAAAAATAATAACGTCGTCAGCGATAGTAGGAGCTCCTATAACGACTTGAATCCCATGAAGATCATGATTTTGTTCAGCTTTCTGAATAAGGCTGGATAGAATCTCTGCACAAAACAAAAACAAATACGGGGAAAGGGGGTCTCCTTGGCGAAGACCTCTGTTAGGTTTAAAATGATCATGCGGTTCACCATTAACAAGAACTGAGTAGGAAACTGTATTGACACAATTCATGATTAATTTAACCCAATGAACATCCAAACCCAATCTAAGCAAAGTTTCTTCTATAAAAAGCCACTCAACACAGTCATAAGCCTCACTCATATCCAATTTGCAAGTGAAAAAACCTTTTTAGCAGTTGTTTTTGTTTTCATAAAATGAAAATGTTCAAATGCGAGAAGAGCATTATCTGTGATTAAATGACCCGGACAAAAGCAGATTGAGTATAACTAATGACGAAAGTAGCACTGATTTCAATCTATTGGCAATGACCGTAGTGACAATTTTAAAAATAACATTGCAAAGACTATTGGGTCGAAACTGACTAGTATGATCCAGGATTTCTAACTTCAGGAATAAGAGCAATAAAAGTATTATTTATAGATTCAACTGACTCAGCCTGATTCAAAATATCAAGAACTTTTTGCTCAACGGTTGGACCTACTATGGGCCAAAATTTTTGATAGAAAATAGGAGGCATACTGTTGGGGCCAGGAGCTTTAGAAGGATGCATCTGCTTGAGGGCAAAAATAATTTCATCTCTTGAATAAGGTCGGCACAAATCAAGATTCATCTCCATCGTCACTCGAGGCTCTACTGAATCCAGGACCTCATCAAAAGCCGATGGATTGGAGGACGTGAAGAGGTGCCTGAAATAACCTGTCATTATCTGCCGAATTGTTGATTATTGTTAGTTGTACCGTTGTTGACTACATCAAAGAAGTTATCTACATTTTACTTAAATAAATAAATAAATAAATAAAATAAATTAGGGTATCTACTCCACCTTTTAAGGTGGGCAATCAGAGAAGCATGTTGAATTTCTTTGTTTATCAATTGCAGTGAATGATTTCTTCTGACTTCTATATTTGTCCTTTTCTTTTGTGAAAGAGAATTCTGAATTTTTTGCACATCTCATAGGTCCTAACTTGCAGTCACAGGGTATTTCAGAAAAATTGGCTTTGCCTTCAGACACTACTAGTAAAATTGTACCAGTTAAAAGACCAGATAAAGGTGGCAAACTGGCCATCCGAACTGCTACTCTTCAAGTAAATCACTTTCCTGTCAGTTTTGATCCTGAGAGTATCATAATGCATTATGACATTGACGTCAGACCTGATGTGCCTCCCAAGCATGGTCGCCCTGCGAGAATAACTAAATCTAATTTGACATTGATCAGGAATAAGTTCTTCACTGATAATCCTTCTCAGTTTCCATTGTCAATGACTGCATATGATGGTGAGAAGAACATTTTCAGTGCAGTACGTTTGCCCACTGGAAAATTTAAGGTGGAGTTCTCTGAGGCGGAAGACATGAAAGAGTGTACTTATACATTTACAATAAAGCTTGTGAATGAACTTAAGCTTTCCAAGTTGAAGGATTACTTATGTGGGAAACTCTTGTCGATTCCTCGAGACATACTGCAAGGGATGGATGTAGTAATGAAAGAGAACCCAACTAGGAATATGATATCTGTAGGCCGCACCTTTCATTCTTTTGAATCTTGTGAAGCAGATGACCTTGGGTTTGGCATTACAGCATCTAGAGGGTTTCAACATAGTCTCAAGCCTACGTTCCAGGGTCTGGCCATGTGCTTGGACTATTCTGTACTTGCATTTCGCAAGCGACTACCAGTGATAGATTTTCTTTACCAGCATATTCCAGGGTTTGAATTACGTGATTTCAGAAGCTTTAGAAGAGATGCTGAGAATGCATTGAAGGGATTAAAGGTTACAGTGACTCATCGTATTACTAAACAAAAATATATGATTGCTGGATTGACAAAGGATAATTCACGACATATTACTTTTTTGGCTGAAGATCCAGATGGCAAAGCTCCACAACGTCAAGTTAGCCTTGTTGAATATTTCAGGCGAAAGTACTGCGATATACAATACAAGGACATTCCTTGCCTTGATTTGGGCAAAAGCAATCGAAAAAATTATGTACCAATGGAGTTCTGTGTCTTAGTTGAAGGTCAGGTATATCCAAAAGAGCATTTGGATAGGAAGGCGGCTATGTTCTTGAAGAACATGTCGCTGGCAACTCCAAGTGACAGGCAAAGGATAATAGGTAGAATGGTAAGTGCAGGAGAAGGACCTTCCGGGTATGTATGCACAATTTGCCTTTTTTATTTTGTTATGTTGTACTTTAATTCTTCTTGTTTCTTTCTTTTTTTTTTAGGTTATTATTATTATTATTTACCTTTTCTTTCTATGTTTAGAGGAAACAATAATTTTGATTTCTTTGCCCTAATATTATCAGAATCTTATGGTTGGCGATTTGAATCTTACTATTTGATTCAATTTTTATGCTAAACCATTCAAATCTTATGAGTGAATTGGAATTGAGCATGAATCATAAGTCGATTCTCATTCCCAATGATTTTGTTACTGAACAAAACAAGTGGAAAAGTCCATATAGAGAAAGAAGAGCAAGACAATATAGTTATATTAGAAGATAAAGATGATGAAGAGCTTGAATTTGGAAATGATGATGAATGAATATTTATTTGCATAGGAAATTTGATGGCTTGCTAGTTCTACTTTGTTTTTGTTTTACAATTTTAACTTCATAGTTTGATATTGAACATGGCAACTATACAAATCATTAGGTTCTTTTTCATTTTGTGTTTACTACATGATTTAGAATTGAAATTTTTATATAAATACATTATTTGTAATTGTAATTAAATTCCTAGTAATTTTTGAAAAAATTAATGGAAATATATTCATAAATGTATATGTATTTAAAAATTTTTAAAAGTTAATATTGAATCTCACGATCTGAGTTGATTCTCGATTCTCAAGGATTTAGATTCCCGATTTGATTCTTGATTTGACCAACTATCCATTAAATTGTCGTTGCTTCCAGTTTTAATTTATCATATTGTGCTTCCCATATATATTGTCAGTGTTATTTGATAAAATTTTGGCAATGTGTTCTAGCTTGCTTCTTTTTCTTCTGTCTCCAACTGCTATATTTTGCTGAATGTCTTGCTATGTTTAATTAGTTAGTGTCACTATAATTAACATGGGCAGATGCTTGTCTTGGTGACCGTTCTTGAACTTTGAATATCAAATGACTATTTATTAGTTTTTCTTATGGATTATTGCACTAGAGCTTTTTGCTTGTAGAATTTATATTCTTTTCTTATTATTTTATCCAAGGGTGTCGTTATTGTGAATCAATTTTTTGCTTGAATTTTCTTGGCAATATGGATCTGTTTCGGTTGTTGGCTAAGTTATTCTGTCCTTGATCATGTTTTTATCATGACATGCAAAGGTGCATGGGAGTACAAGAACTTTGACATTTCGGGATCTCGATAATGTTTTGGAAATAGAAACTCAAAGAAATGGATTGAAATGTCTCTGGTCCATTTATGTGATATTTGAAATTTACAAAAGGTGCTGCTTTACAGAAAATCTTAGTAGACAACTTCTGCTGATCCGCAGGGTTTCCTTTCTTATTTTGAATCATGGTCTTTACATCATTGATAGTGAGCAAACAATCTGGAGTGAGAGGTGTTATAGAGTGAACAACTAATAGCAGCAGAAGGATCTAGAGGACCTACAAATCAACAAACTGGGGAAGGAGGAGAGAGGAGTGAGATGAGACGAAAGAGGCTTATCAACAAGGGAAAACTTTCTGCTAAGAAACAATGAACTTACGGTGGTGCTACTAGGGTCAAGGGTTTTGTTGAGGATTTGTTGGGTGTGTGAGGTCTAACTTGTAGTAATTAGCCATCTATTTGGCCTGGGCTTGATCCTTTCTGTCCGGTGGTAGTAAGCTTCCCTCCTTAAATTTTTCTAAAAATAAACAAAACTTCAGATCTTCTCTAAAAAGCTCCATAGTTCTCTGTTCAAAAATTAAGATGTTTTAATTTTTATGCTATCATGAGTCAAAAGTATTGATTACTATTGATAATTGCTTGAATCAATGCTTATTTTAAATATTTTTATATGAAAAATCAACTATCTGTAAAAATAGCCCATTTATTTTATGCTTACATGTTTCTGTTCCCTTTATTTTTTTTTGTGTCCCAGTGTTTGTTTTGTTTCTGTTTCTGTGCTACCTAGTTGACATGTAGCAATGGTTGTGGAGGATGTTACTGTAAGTGCATGAATTGGTAGTTGGAGGTTAATCTGAATTACATGTGTACTTGTTTTAATAGATAAGTAACTTCTTTCTTTGGTTCTCTGAATATGGCCGAAATGTTTTCTATTGAGATTAAAATCTCAAGTTGCAAAATTATATTTTATTGCATGATATGTCTGGATCATGTTTAAAATCAAATATGCAATAGTTAGCTTGGGTCATTTTTACACAGAAGTGTGATCTGGTTGGATTGAATCAATTTTTATTTAATAATCCGTTTATTTTTTCTTTTTCTTTTTCTTTTTTGAGAATTTAGTAATCTGTTTGTTCAATTGTGGTGCGGTTTCTTATATGTTTGTTATGTTTTTTTTGGCAGTGGGAACATAATCCAGAATTTCGGAATGAATGTTGACAAGAATATGACATTAGTTGAAGGCCGTGTAATTGGGCCACCAGAACTGAAACTAAGTGCTTCTAATGGTAGGGTGATGAAAATTTCTGTTGACAAGGAGAAATGTCACTGGAATCTTGTTGGAAGAGGAGTGGTGGAAGGGAAAACAATTGAAAGATGGGCTATTCTGGATTTTAGTTCTTCTGACCGTGACAGATTGAGGCCAGAGCAATTCATATCGAAGCTCAGGGCTCGGTGTGAGAATCTAGGAATCTCTATGAAAGAGCCACTCTTTTGCCAATCTGCTACTATGCACAAATTCTCTAATGTTGATATGCTTCATGATCTGCTTGAAGCAGTTAATGATCGGGCTAATAAGACTTGCCGGGGTCAGTTGCAAATTCTTCTTTGTGTGATGTCTAGGAAGGATCCTGGTTATAAGTATCTTAAGTGGATTTCTGAGACTAGAGTTGGTGTAGTAACTCAATGTTGTTTGTCCATTCTTGCCAACAAAGGGAATGACCAATATCTTGCTAATCTTGCTCTTAAAATCAACGCTAAGCTTGGAGGTAGTAATGTGGAGCTCATTGACCGACTTCCATATTTTGAAGGTGGGGACCATGTTATGTTCATTGGGGCTGATGTTAATCATCCTGGTGCTCGGAATACAACGAGTCCATCCATTGCTGCTGTTGTTGCTACTGTGAATTGGCCTGCTGCAAATCGTTATGCAGCGCGGGTTCGTCCTCAGGATCATCGAAAAGAGAAGATTGTCAATTTTGCAGTTATGTGTCTTGAACTTGTTGAAACTTATGCTCGGCTGAATAAGGTTAAACCAGCGAATATTGTGATCTTCCGTGACGGGGTAAGCGAGGGCCAGTTTGATATGGTTCTCAATGAAGAGTTGATAGATCTCAAGAAATTATTCCAATCAATCAATTACAACCCAACTATTACACTCATTGTGGCCCAAAAGAGGCATCAAACTCGTTTGTTTACCAGGAACAGGGGTGATGGAAGCTCCAATGGGAATGTGTCTCCAGGCACAGTTGTGGACACGAAAATTGTGCATCCATTTGAATTTGATTTTTATCTCTGTAGCCACTACGGAAGCCTTGGGACAAGCAAGCCCACACACTATCATGTCTTATGGGATGAACATGGCTTTAGTTCTGACCAATTGCAGAAACTTATATATAACATGTGCTACACGTTTGCTCGATGCACAAAACCTGTGTCATTGATTCCACCAGTGTACTATGCTGACCTTGTTGCTTACAGAGGAAGGTTGTACTATGAGGCAGTAATGGAAGGACATTCTCCAGCATCAGCAACTTCTTCATCCTCTTCACTAGCATCATCATCATTGTCGTCGGCACCTTCCTTTGATGACAGGTTTTATAAGTTGCATGCTGACCTGGAGAACATAATGTTTTTTGTTTGAAAAGCTGTTGTTTGGCCAATCTCCTGTCCTCAGATGGAGATGGTTATCATTTTTGTTTTTTTAAATGCCTATGCGCAGGTTCACTCCTTTTATATGCATTTCAGTCCAACTGAAGGAGTTTGTGCGTGAATCTAATGGGTTACAGACTCTTCTCCTTTCATGGTTTCTTTCTGCAAGCCATACTTTGTTAGGGGATAATTATGCTTTTCAAGTTTGGACTTGGAAGGTTCAAAACACTGTTTTAATATAGCTGGATGCCATTAAGGCTTTTTTTTTTTTTTTTTTTTTTTTTTTTTTTTTAATTGTCGTCGGCACTTCCTTTGACTGACAGGTTTTATAAGTTGCATGCTGACCCTGGAGAACATAAAATGGTTTTTTGTTTGAAAAGCTGTTGTTTGGCCAATCTTCCTTGTCCCTCAAGATGGAGATGGTTTCCATTTTTGTTTTTTTTAAATGCCGTATGCGCAAGGTTTCACTCCCTTTTATATGCATTTCAAGTCCAACTGAAGGAGTTTTGTGCGTCGAAATCTAAATGGTTAAGACTCTTCTCCTTTCATGGTTTTCTTTCTGCAAGCCAATATTTGTTAGGGGATAATTATGCTTTTCAAAGTTTGGACTTGGAAGGTTCAAATCACTGTTTTAAATATAGCTGGATGCCATTAAGGCTTTTTTTTTTTTTTTTTTTTTTTTTTTTTTTTTTTTTAACATTATTTTTATTCAAGCAAAAAAGAATTATTATTATTATTATTATTATTATTGTTTGGTAGTTTGGGAGTTATTAAGTGGCTTGTTAGCTTGATGAATGGTTTCCCACCTCTGACCATGATGTTTGAGGAAGTTGAGTCTTGCTGCTTTGTCATTAAGTCTTACCAACAAGTATGGTGAATATTTGATTGTTACTATCAAATGAATTGTTTGCTTGGGCGTTTTTGAAGTCCTTCCTTTATTTTACTTTAATGGTTTCTGATGAAATGTAAATTCCATAGAATGTGAATTCATGATTGTGAAGTTAATAAAATTTTACATTTCATTTGGTAACAAACAGAATCTATGAATGTACCACGAACATTCAACAAAACGGAATCACTTATAATATACTTAAAAATGATAATATTTTTTGCATTGATTTTACTCTGTTTTAGACATGTATGTATCAATTACTACCAATATTATAATCTTAACAAATATAGCTCTCTCTAACCAATAAAATTTATAGTTTGCAGATATTTTTGAGAACCCAATAGTATGTATGCCCCTACTAAAATTTATGGATTAATTCTATTGATTGAAAAAATAAGGATTATTTAATTTAGATTGGTTATTAGTTTTTCTATTTAAATATAAAATTTTATATGCAATTATATTATTTCAAATGTGACTAAAATTTTTTATTTTAAATAATATATCATTTTATAATTATATTATTTCAAATGTGACTAAAATTTTTTATTTTAAATAATATATCATTTTATACGATATCCGTTTAATTACCTCAACAGTAACATATACAGGACAAATTAAATTAAGTTTTATAATGGAGATGATTTTGCTTTTACCAGTATACAACACCATAATGATTTACCGCCGTATAAGAAAGTATATACGAAAGTAGTATGCAATTAGTATGAGCTTTTTAGAAATCCAATATTCCCTTCCTGTTTGTACTTTTATGTAGATTTTATTTAAATTATAGATAAAAATAATAAAATAATTCTACAGTTAAAAGCATTTGCAGTTTAATTTTTCAAAAAATAAAATTCTACGGTTAAAAAAAAAAGATTAAAGTATTTTTTTCTCTTCTTCTACAGTTCAAATTTTTAGCTTAAGTAATTTTTTTTTTTCATTTGCTTCTTGTTATGGACGTCACGGTTTTTATTATGGTTTTTTTTTTTTTTTATAGATACTAATCCAATAGAACTTCAATAAATTTGCAAAAAAAAAAAAAAATAAAAATAAAAACACCATAAATTCCTCAAAAATACGTTTCAAAACAGAATAGAACAACATGAAACTAAAAACCATAGATCTGATCAAACTTTGGAGTAATAAACTATACGATGTAGAAAGTTATAACAAATAAATACAAACTTACTAAACTACAAAAAAAAAAAAAAAAAAAAAAAAAAAAGCTGCTCATGCATCTGTACACTCCGCTTCTTCGGGCAGAGATGCTGCAGGCGTGGTGTGTCAACTAACGCCAACCAGAGCACTCATCTTCAGGTCCTCGGTAGTACCCCTGCATTCTCCCACAAAAAAAAACAAGCCCAGATCCCCTCAAAATTAAACAAAGTTCAAGGAAATCACAAAGAATTTGTCAAGCTTAAAACGAGGACAAGCCTAAAAACCAAAAGAAGATTTTTAAAAAACGTCCCCAATTGAATGTCTAACCTAAAAAAAAAAAAAAAAAAAAAAAAAGCCCAGATCCCCTCAAATTAAACAAAGTAAAGAAAATCACAAAGAATTTGTCAAGCTAAAAAGAGGACAAGCTAAAAAGAAGACAAAAGAGATTTTAAAAAACTCCCAACAAAATTGAATAGTATAAAATAAAGAGATGGAGAAACAAAGATATTAATGCTATACAAAAACAATAAAGCTCAGAAGGCAAAAGAGATTTTAAAAAACTCTCACAAAATTGAACAGTATAAAATAAAGGGATGGAGAAACAAAAGATCTGAATGCTAAACCCAAAAACAATAAAACTCTCAACAGCTCTCTCATTTTGGTTGAACCAGAAGCTAAAAGAGATTTCGAAAAACTAATAAGCATAAATATTAAAAATGAATCTGTATGTGGAATTGCCGATGGATGTTTATCGATGGGTGTTCGCGATGGATGTGCTATGGTGAGAGCGAGACTGTAGATGCTCAATTTTTGCTCCAAAAAAGACTCAGTGATGATAATATTTTTTTTATATATAAAATGGGCTCAAGACATCCGATTGCTCTGATTTTTGATCGATTTTGCATTGATACTGAGCTCGAGAAGTGGCTCAGGTCCGCTCGAGACGCATTCTGATGCACCGTCTCATTTTACGTGCTACTTGGACACATTTGGTAAAAATAGATACAGTCCAATTTTGTGGCCCACCAGTGGCATTTGCAATCTAAGCCCTAGAAGAGGGCCACTTCATCTCCCATTTGCCTATAAACAGGGCAAGGGTTTAAGAGATGGGAGAGGTTTTTTGATTACAAACGAGAAACTCTTGCATTTTCTCCGCTCATTCTTGATTCTAGGTTAAATCTTGTGATTCTGACTTGGATCTTGAAGTTTATTCATTTTAAGAAAAACTCGATTAAAGACCCGTAAACACACTCACTTAACTTAAACTCAGATTGTTCAACAAAGATCAAAGCTTTTGGGTTTCTTGATTCATTTTCCCCAAATCTTTGGATTTTCTTCAAAATCAGGTAACTCCTAAGAGTCTTAACCCTTTTCCTTCATCTTTTTCTCTTTTGGGTGTATTAAAGACACTTGCTTTGCATTAGTTGTGAGGGTAAACCGTGATCAACCAAAAGTCTCTGATTGTGCTAGTAGTGGCGCACGCCACTAGTCTACGGCGTTGCACCATAACGTGTGGTGCAAGCCAATTTGGCTCAGTTAGATGGCTCTATAAGCTTATTTTGGATTTCTGATCAGGGAAAGGTCCGCATGCCACTATGTGTGGCGCACGCTCCTAGTAGTGTTGCACAGACCTTCATTTTAAAAACTCAGAAGACAAAAATAAATAAAATGGCTTCGATTAGGGTCCCTTTTGAGTCAAGCGCTAAGCAATATTGCTTTCTGTCGTGTAAATGACTCATTATAGCCCAAATAATAATAAAGAATGAGTTTTAGGTAGTGATAGTCATAGTAGTTCATCATTCATGATGAACTTCATATTCTTGAACTCAAATCTCATTCAAAGTTAAGAATTATTCCTTTATCTTTCTGTCATTTACTTTAACGCTATTTAAGATTCTGTCTTTTAAATTTCAAAGTCATTTACTTTCACGCACCTTTATTATTATATTGCCTTTTGTTTAATGAGCTAACTATTATTCACTAACCCCACTAATATTCATTCTTGATTCTTTTATGTTAATAACAGTTTACTATTAATTCTGAATGTGTGTGATTCATGTTTGATTCATTATTTCATTCCTATGATTAATTTATCGCTTTATATTGAGCTTGATGTAAGGGTCCATAATGGATTCCATAAATTGCTTGTTTGTAATAAATTGGATTTGGGAAATTTTAAGGGGTTGATGGATAGAATGTAAATTAGGCTATGAATTTCAATTGTTTTCTCCTCTCCCCCTTCTTTGCTAGATTATTTTGCATACTTTATTTAATTATTATTGCTCATGAGTGTCATGTTTTAAAATTACATTTAAAACTTATTTTTCACCTCAAATAAAGTTAATCATATTATTAAGATTGAGAATGAATGGACAATGAATGAACAATGAAGGATGCCGGTTTCAAATCAGGCGGTCCGGGTGCCTAATACCTTCCTGTAACCGTATCTAATGAGGGTGAAGAATCTAAAAATAAAGATCTTATCAAAGTAAGAACTATTTTTACAAAATCCCTTTTCAAAATGAGGTCGCCTCTTTGAGGATGTTAAAACGAGTCTAATAAGAGAAAATCAATTTTCTAAATTAAAATAAAGTGAGCCCATTTTTATATTTTTGCGAAAACATATAGATCCTCTATCTACGACTCTGCCGGGAATCGAACCAGAATCTCTGGTTTTCGGATTTTGGGTTCAAGAAAAGAGTTGACTCCAATATTGTCCTATCATTCACAATTGTTAATAATATTGCTAACTTAAAATTGAGTTTACCTTTTTGTATATATAATTGGCATTCATCCATTATTCTCATCTTAATCTCTTTTTTATCCAAAACCCTAAAGGTGATATTAGAGGATATGGTCCTTTCACTCTACTCGACTATTGGGATTTGCAACTAATATACACCACCATTAAGCTTTGTACCTCTTGGTATATTAAAAGAATTGTCACAATTTGTCATCACCATTGGGTTAGGCGCAAAGCTAAATGGGAGGAAACAAGCAATTCTCGCTTATGGAACCTAATACCGACCAAAACTCATGTAATGACCTTAGTCCCTTTCTTTAGGGTTAACATAATAAATTAAAATTGTGGCATTCATCCTATAAATGCGAGGGACGTCGGTCCAAATCCCATGATATTTTATGGCCCCAACCATTTTGTCCTAGAGTTTTAAATAGACTTTTAACCATGAATTGTGTGTCGGCAATATAAGGGTG